GGGAAATGTTATCTCTATAACTAAGGTTCTGAAGGTTCTGATTGTTAACATTACTCAACTACATTAGTTAACATGAACAATGAAAATACTTGTAAAGCATTTATTAATCTCAGTTCATATTCATTTAACATTTACTAATACATTGTTAAAAAAAGATTAATAAATTCTGTAACAAATATATCGCTCATTGGAAGTTAATATTAGTTAATGCATTAATTAACCTTGTCGTATGCTCACCCCAAAAAAAAAAAAAAATTTGAAAAATGTAACTTTTCTATTTTTATTACACTTTATAATGCATTTATTATATTTTTAAAATGTAACAATTTTTTTCAGAATTTTTGAAGAATAGAACGTTTAGAATTTAAAATACGAATCTTTGTAACAGTATAAATGTCTCCACTGAACTTTTGATCAATGTTACAAAATAAATGCAGCTTCTTTGATCTTTGTTGAATCCTGAAAAATACAACGTATCACGTTTTCCACAAAAATATTGTGCAGCACAACGGTTTTCAACATTGATAATAATCAGAAATGTTTCTTGAGCAGCAAATCAGCATATTAGAATGATTTCTGAAGATCATGTGACACTGAAGACTGGAGTAATGATGCTGAAAATACAGCTTTGATCACAGAAATAAATTACATTTGAACACATTCACATAAAAAACAGCTGTTTGGAATTGTAAAAATATTAGTGGTTTTCCCGTAAAGAGTGCTGTATCCAATAAACACTCTTTGTAGACTCTCTCCAAACTTTTGAATGTTAGTTAATTCGAGACCTTCGTATGCATTTGAATGAAGCGTCGGCGCACCTCTCTCTGAAACCTCTCGAGCGTCAGCTTCCTCTGCATCTGATCCTGAACCCACGCATCCGCCGCGTACTCGCCCTCCAGCAGAGACCGCCAGCAGTTCCCAGCCTCCCGGTTCGACTTCATCAGGACGATCCGGATCAACTTTCTGTCCTCTGAACGGCACGACAGACACATAAAGGTTTTGCATGCATGCACTATTTACTCTGACATGAAATTGTTCAGTGGCTTTCAGCGTCACCTAACGTCCACGTCGCTTCATCGCCGACTGTGGGTCCAAACAGCTTCCCCTGTGAGACGACAGAAAACTGAGTTTATAAATTAGAAGTAGCTGAGAGTTTCTATTAGCATCATGTACCTCAGAGGGACGTTTCACACGCCTGTGCCACACGAACGCCACTCATCCAGGCCGAAAAATGTGATTAGGTATTGTGTTGATATGACAAAAAGTCACCTAATAACAAAACGGTCCTTCAGAGTAACTGGGGTTTTTAGTCCTACTGGGACAATTTCATTTTCTATTTTTTATGTGAATTCCTCTGAGAAACTATCACAACCTCCTCTGCTCGGTTGTTAAAACATCAATATTCAGCACATTTATGCATGCAGACAATTAACCTTCTTTTGTAATTATTTGTATTCAAGTAAAAAACAATTTTTTTTAAAAAAACGCAGATTTTTTTTTATAAAGTTGCAATTGAACGTAAATAGTGACAGATGTTTTCTTCCATAAAATAACTTAAACTAAAACAGAAATTAAAATTAATAAAAACTATATAGACACACTATACAGGGTTTCCATTTCATGTCCTCTGTAAAGTGACACTTTCCCCGATTAATATTCCTATTAAACTCATTATTACAATATTAATATTTAATAATGTGTTGCCCCCAAATCTCATATATCATAAAATATTTATAATATAAAAAAGACACTTACAGTACACTTGTCAAAAGTTTGGAAACATTATATTTACTTTTCTTTTTTTTTTTTAAGTTTCATCTGCTCACCAAGGCTACATTTATTAAAAAAAAAATATATATATATAGTAAAATTGTAAAATATTATTCCAATATAAAATTACTGTTTTCTATGTGAATCTATTTTAAAATGTAATTTATTTCTATGATGCAAAGCTGAATTTTCAGCATCAGTCTTCAGTGTCACATGATCTTCAGAAATCATTCTAATATGCTGATTTGCTGCTC